ACACTTCTTTTGCAATTCCAAGTTCTTGCAATCACCACCTCTTTCGTTAAAAACACAAAAGGACAAATGGGAAATTAAGCACAAATTATCTCATAACATTTTTTGTGCTGGAAGAAGCCAAATGAGCAAAAAACCATCATAATTATTATACTTATGTTACCAAACAAGAACTGCCATTGGTATAATGAAAATGAAAATAATAATTCATGTCACCAATATGATGCTTCACAAAACTACTCAATAAATATAGGGTCATTATCATAAGGGTCCGCTACACTAGCTTCATAACTAAACTGACATATACGATCCTGATATGGCATAAGCCAATCTGATGCAGTTATGGTTGCACATCTTAACCAACGCTCATCAACTGGTGGCATAGGGTGTTGACCTTCCAAATAAACATGTAAAATTAAAAATTAAAAATTAAAAAATCAAGTTATGTGAAAAGAATAATAAGCAAACATATATATGCATAAACATCTTAATTGTTTTACCTTAATCCAGTGGTTGTGGTTAACAAATTCAATAGAAATCTCACGGCGATAGATAGAATCCAATGGAGCAGTCTCATATGAAAAAAAATGTACGTGACTGATGCACTGACCAAGTCATGAGGATTACATTATAACAAGATGCAATGAGGTGTCCCATATCTAGTATAGTCATCCACCTATCTTGAAGTGGGAAGTCCTCAAAATAGTCCAACATATACTCAATATGTTGTACCCGGTCCTTACCATTTAATATTAACTCGTATATGACATATTCTTTCCTCAACTCCTTCAACAAGTCTCTGCATACTTTGCGCCAAGCATTGTCACCAAACTCCATCAATGATCCAATGACTCCTGTTTGTACCATATCTGACCCTCCACTCGTACAACGACACGTGGATCTTATAAACTCGCCCAAGTACCCAAGGCCTCGGACAATCGGCATCGGCCACCGATGGCATTGTCTCAAAGCTGCGAACAGCCATTACGAGCCCAACTCGTCTACAATCGGCATCCCCTACCGATTGTAGAGAATCAGCCTCGAAGTATCCGCCCAAAATATCTAAGGACTCGTGTCAACCTCATAGGGCCCTCCCACGAGTCCCACATCGAAAATGAGTACTAAGAGCACACAAGATGCCCTCTATAAATAGGCCCCTTCCACTACAATACAGGGGTAAGACTTTTCAGCTTGACTTTTATACTTCTATATGGTCAACAGCAAGAGCTCTTAAAAACAATCTTACTTGAGCATCGGAGGGTCTTAGGCTGGTTCCACACCGGTTCCATAGACCTCACGAGCTTCGCTTATCTTCTATTCAGGATCAGCATTTGAAGACATGAAGAATCTCCATTTACCACTCAATCGATCTCCTAGATCGTCCACATCTCTTGTAAGTTGCACTCATCTCTATCTGTTCAGATTTAGCGCCAA